TGAAAGGCATGTAAAAGAGACTTGTTGGGTTCTTTATCCTCATCTGAAACCAGCTGCTTTAAGGAAAGACAGGAAGCCCCAGAAGAATCAAACAGCAAGTGGGAATCATGTTACGAGTCASAGTGGTGATAGCTCAAAGAACACACCTACAGTTGCATCTTCTCCCATGGGACAGACTACTAATTTCCCCACATCCGAATCCTTGGGTTTCACTGCTGATGAGGTAGAGATCCTTAGTCTGGCCTTAACCCGTCTAAGGACTAATTTTCTTGCTTCCACCTCTCTTGCCAAATCAGGTATTGTCTTTGCTTATAGTACAACTAGTTCTATTGACTCTACTTCTTGGATTATTGATTCTGGTGCCACTGACCACATGACACACATGTCCTCTTTATTTTCTTTTTACCAATTGATGTCTGGCCAAGATAAGATGAGGGTTACTGATGGTTCTCTCTCCACCATCTCGGGGAAAGGGGGAGTTGACCTAAGCAAGAACCTCTCTCTTAAATCTGTTCTACATGTTCCCAATCTTACTTCCAATCTCTTATCTGTTTAGAAGATTACAAAGAATTTAAATTATAGTGTAACTTTCTTTCCTACTCATTGTGTCTTTCAGGACAGATTGACGAAGAGAATGATTGAGAGTGGTCATGGGTGTGGAGGTCTCTACTATTTTGATGCAGACATAAGCTTGGCCTTACAATCATCTGCAATCAGTAGTCAGAATAATGTGGAGTCAATAGCTAGGTTACACTTGTGGCATGCTAGGCTAGGTCATTTACCTTTTTCATCATTGTAAGCATTGTTTCCTGAATTATTTAAGGGTATTTTGAGTCAAAGTTTAGTTTGTGAAGTGTGTCAGTTGTCAAAACAATGTAGAACCCTTTATCCAATTTCTAGTAATGAAATTCAAGCTCCTTTTGATTTGGTCCATTCTGATGTTTGGGGCCCTTCACCCCTTGTTTCTATAGATGGCTTTCGTTACTTTATTAGTTTTATTGATCATTATTCACGATGCACATGGATCTACTTGTTAAAAGGACGTGATGAAGTGCCACGGATAACCATGGCATTTTGTAAAATGATTGAGACTCAATTTGATAAGAAGATTAAGCAATTCCGTTCAGACAATGCTGCGGAATATTTTGAAAGATCCTTGAACCTATTCATGGAGGATGTTGGCATGATACATCAGTTGTCTTGTGCTAGTACCCCTTAACAGAATGGGGTTGCTGAGCGCAAAAATAGACACTTATTGGAGACCGCTCAAGCTTTATTATTTTAGCACAAGGTGCCCAAGCACTACTGGTCTCAAGCTGTCCTTACCGCATCATATCTGATAAATCGGATGCCATCCAAGGTGTTTGGTATGAAAACTCCTTTCTTTGTCCTTTGCCCTAATCTTCCAGATTTTCCTCTTCCACCTAGAGTCTTTGGTTGTGTGTGCTTTATACATGTTAAGGATCCGAAGAAGTCCAAGTTGGATCCTAGGGCTACGAAAGGAATCTTTCTAGGGTACTCTCCTACCCAGAAAGGTTATAAGTGTTATGATCCCATCACCAAGAAGAAGTATGCCACAAAATATGTGATATTTTTTTAGTCTCACTCCTATTTTCATTCTTCCCAGAATCCTCTTTAGGGGGAGACTAGTGGGATGGAAGAGGATTCTTCTTTGGATTCTCCTTCCCCCTCCTGTTTTGTGCCTCTCTCTGCCTCGGGCCTTCCATCCTCTCCTCCTGATCCTCCTAGTTGTAGCATCCCAGGTGAACCTAGTGAGGCTCCCATTACTCTTGTTACCACTGTTGATGTTGCAGATGTAATTGGAGACACCAGTAAGCAACAGAAAGATATAAGAATCACCTACAACAGAAGGAAGAAAGACCCTCCAACTCATGACAGCAATCAATCAGACTCGGACCAATCTGCCTCAGCAACTTCAGGTAATCCCATCCCTCATACTTCTTATTGGATCTCCCTATTGCTCTTTGTAAGTCTACCCGCTCTTGTACTATCCGACACCCCATTGCTGAATTTGTCTCTTACTCATGTTTATCTCCTCGTTATTATTCCTTTGTATCTCCTCTCTCCTCAGTGCATGTTCCTACTAGGTACTCAGAAGCAGTGTCTGATCCAAGATGGAAAGAGGCTATGAATAAGGAAATGAAAGCCCTAATGAAAGAGAAGACTTAGGAATTAGTGGATCTACCAGAAGGGAAGAGCATTGTAGGATGCAAGTGGGTGTTCACTGTAAAGCATAGGGAGGATGGGTCCATTGAAAGATTCAAGGCCAGACTTGTGGCAAGGGGTTTACTCAAAAGGAAGGGATTGACTACAAAGAGACCTTTGCTCCAGTCGCGAAGCTTAACACAATCCGGGTCTTATTGTCATTGGCTGCAAATTTCTCATGGGAGCTACATTAGTTGGATGTAAAAAATGCTTTTCTAAATGGTGATCTACGTGAAGAAGTATTTATGGATCCTCCACCAGGTTATGGCTTTGATGGAAAAGTATGTAAACTGAGGAAAGCATTATATATTGCCTTAAGTAGTCTCCTCGGGCTTGGTTTGAGAGACTTTGTGGGGCCATGAAAAGAGTGGGATACACTCAAAGTGGTGCAGATCATACTTTGTTCATGAGGAAACAAAATGGCCGACTTATAGTGTTAATCGTCTATGTGGATGATATGGTGATTACAGGGGATGATCTGGAAGAGATAAAAAGATTAAAGGAATTCTCGGCTTCTGAGTTTGAGATCAAAGACTTGGGCCATCTGAGATACTTCCTTGGAATTGAAGTTGCTAGATCAAAAGAGGGCATCTATATATGTCAGCGGAAGTATGTCCTTGACCTACTAGGGGAGACAGGCATGATGGGGTGTAGACCAGCAGATACTCCAATAGAGCAGAACCATGGTCTACAGGAATCAATTGGAGAGGACAACGTTGATAGAGAAAGATACCAAAAACTGGTAGGCAAGCTGATATATTTGTCTCTCACTTGACCGGATATTGCTTATGTTGTACATGTAGTCAGCCAGTTCATGCACTCTCCAAAGATTCCTCATATGAGAGCAGTGGAAAGAATTCTCAGATACTTGAAGACTTGCCCAGGAAAAGGAATTCTATTCAAAAAACACAACAAAATTGAAACTGAAGCGTATACTGATGCAGATTGGGCTGGCTCTATTGGGGACAGGAAGTCTACTTCTGGGTATTGCACGTTTGTTGGAGGAAATCTGGTTACATGGCGAAGTAAAAAGCAGAATGTGGTTGCCAGATCGAGTGTAGAGGCTGAATATCGAGCTATGGCCCATGGTGTTGCAGAACTGTTGTGGCTTAGAACCCTTCTTGGTGAGCTCAGGGTAAAAGTCGAGTGTCCTCTCAGGCTGTACTGTGACAACAAGGCTGCCATCAACATTGCAAATAATCCAGTATAACATGATGGGACGAAGCACATTGAGATTGACCGGCACTTCGTTAGAGAAAGAATTGTCTCAAGAGAACTTTGCATTCCTTATACTCCTTCCGAGATGCAGATTGCAGATGTGTTAACTAAAGGACTAGCTTCAATGAAGTTCTCAGACTTACTTGGCAAGCTAAACATGATTGACATCCATGCTTAGCTTGAGGGGGAGTGTTGGTTCGGYTGTTATTAGTGTTTAAGTTAGTCTTATTAGTGTCTTATGTTCTTAGTTATTGGGCATTTAGTTATTGGGCCCAAACATGTTTAATGTTTTAATTGTTTTATTTGTCTAGGTGTCTCATCACTAATCAGGGACATTCTAGTCTGTTCATGTAATCATTTTATAATCATCTATATAAACTTGTTGGGTCAGCTGAAGAGGACACGCCACCTCTCTCAGATCTTCTTCTCTTCTTCTTCTTCTCCCTCTTCTTCGGCTGCTGTAATCCAGCAAACACAAAGTAGTTTCTGCATATCTAAAAAGAGTTCCTTAGAAACTTCTACCCAAGTTTCGAAGAAAATGCTATGATTAATCCCATTTAAAACATTGAGTATAAATAAGATTGGAAGGATGAAGCCTTGATTTATCTGGCTATTTACTCAACCCATTCCATATCCTATACATTACAATTATTCCTCCTTCAGTAAGTACAAAGCATAGCGTAAAGCAAGTTATCCTCCATTAGATTCAAGATAGGGGTCAAATGCTTTGATTAACCATGTAGCATGTGAAAATGTCTATTTTTATCAACTTGCAATAGTTGGTGTGTCCACAAAATAACCTAGTATATACATGTTTCAGATAATCAAAAAAGAACCAAAAGCAGAAGACAGTCAAAGGTCCAATATCCAGAAACCAAGAATAAAGGACTTGTGAAACAGCAGCAGTGCTAATAAATCTGACATCATATCCTACTGTTGAATCAACCTCACATGTTCGAGGGAAGAGTACAGAGTTAATTATTAGCTCCTAAGTTTCAAGCCAATCTCAAATGTTGTCAAAGAAACTTTCAATTGGAGCTTCTAGAGATTGCTCTAAAATCCAGAAAAGTAATAGTTGAAAATTACACCTATAGTAATTCAGATAATGCAAGAAAAGAAGAAAAGAGAGAAAGAGAAAGAAGAAGAAAAGAAGTTTCAGCAATAGGTTGTGGAAGAAGAAAAGAAGGGAAGAGAGAAAAGAAGAATTCGAGCCTCTCTCTCTAGCCCCCTTTCATCACTTTTATTAATAATTCTAAACCTGAGTACAATTACTTGGATGCCCTTAACGGGGGCGGCCAGCACTAAAGAGATAATTAAAGAAAATAAAAGAAGGCCCATAAGGCCCATAACTAAGAAACATAACTTTTAAATACTACTTAAAAGAAATAAAGAACACTAGGGCCCATTCGGCCCATTCTCACTACAGTAATCAATTTCAAGCCAAACATCAAAATAATTATGGTTTGACCAGTGTACTCCATGTCTCAAATCTCACAGATATTGGTTAAGGGTAGTTTCTAGTTTATTTGATGTGCATGGTTCAGGCTTAGCTTTTGAGACAAAAAGATTGGTCTGTATGTGGTACTGAAGTTACTTTGAGTCATCAACTAACTGTAGTTCAACACCATAAGTTAACCAATATTTTTGGCATCAATCATATTTACACCAAGGAACTGGATGCCCCACTTTACTTCAGACAGCATCAATACAATCATGAGATGGACAGAGCTCCACCTTCTGATTTTAATCCAGTTGCTTGTGTTATTCATTGGTATTTTCATGACCACCAGCCATAGCCCATAAAAGATCACAAGAAAATACCAACTAAAATTTCAGTAAAGCAATCTATCAATGTAATACTAGCAGAAGTGCATCCCCTCCACTTGAAAGACAGCTAAGAGGTAGAGAAGAAGACTGAAGTAAGGAGTAAATCAAGGCCAAGAAGACCATGAAAAAAAGAGTAATTGAATAATCAGGTGACTAATGTACAAGGATTTCCATGTATAAAATAAGCAGTTTAGACAGTGGAGTCCATATTCATAACTTTATATCCAGTTATTTAGGATTGATGCAATAATATCTTCACTGATTATTCATAACTTTCTTCTGCACTTCCACAAGGTCAGATGAGAACATTCTTATTATTCACAATCCAAAAGAAAAAATTTAGCCAATAATCCTTCATGCACATTAGGGCACTTTAATTATTAGTACAAGGATAAACAAATCTTAAAACCTGAGCATCTAGCATAATGAAACTAAATTGATTGAACTTTGAATAATAAATTTTGGCTATCCCTTGGTGGAATCTAATAATGAGTGCATATTATTTATCAATGTTACCCCTCATAAATTGAAAATGAATGATTAGAGAACCCAATACCAGAAGTTTGTGAACATAGTGGGCAATTACATGACAGTATCAAAGAAAGCAAATCATCACCATAATAGTATTAAAGAAAAATTAATACTGGTTTTAAAATAGGAGAATTGCAAGAAATTGTGATGTATCTTACATTTACTCTTTCTACCCTGCGCATTTCATCTTCAAGAAGAGATAATTGTGCAGCAGAGGTCCAATGAATGCAATCAACTGGGCTGAGAAAGCAGTGAATAGGTTATTCAACTAAGAACAGATTCTAAGTCTGGCATAAAAACTTTTATATACACAGTGAACATCAAATGAAACATATGGTAATAAATTATTGACAACAATTTACAAATTCACTTAGAGAATGAAGTGTCAGATTTATAATGATTTTAATCACAATAAATATAGATAGATTTGAAAAGTAATACAAGTAGTTTTTTGCTAATATCGTGTAATTCAAACTTAAAAAGCTTGGCATACAAATAAACTCCTCTAAGCCAAAAACCGTCCCAACAACTAAATTCAGTATTTCATCCCACAAGCTTACACTCCTATACCCCACAGTTGCAACCAAAAAACACCGAAAACTTTTCAAAAAGTAATAGGATAGAAGATTCAGACTTTCTTCATCTTAATATGCTTAGAAAGAGAAGAAAAACAGTTCCAAATAAAGAAATAAAAATCTGATTAGAAAATGAAGAACAAAAAGAAGACAGCAAGAAGAGAAGAAGAGGAAGAGAACGATGGAAGAGAAAGGGATGAAAGAGAAGAGTTGTTTGTACTCTCACTCCTTTCCCTAATCCTTTTAATTAAAAAGATTAATCACTATGGGCCATTAGGCCCATCTTCACTACAAAAGGCAACTCAAGTATTCATAGAAACTAGAAGGCAAAGGAAAAAATTTTGTTCAACATTGTGTACACTTTGGCATCCACTTCAAACCAAATATAGATGTCCTTTCTAATCTAAAAAAATCATATAGAGGAATTGGAAATCACAATAATACATAGAAATACTTTAAAACAAAGGATCTCTTGAAAGAAATGTTTTAAAATGCGGAGGCATGACGTGAGGCGTTCCACTACCTAGAGGTGTGAGGCGTAGTTCAAAACGCAAGAGGCGTAAGCCTCCCAAACACAAGGAGGCATAAGCCTCCTTAAGAGGAGGGGGGTTAGGAGGAAGGGGGCTCATTTTTTCTTTATTTTTAATAAAAATCTTTTATATTAAGAAGAATAAAGATGCATAACATTAGTTGAAAGGGGGGTCTTGTCGAAGCGGAGGCGGGGGTGGGGGTCTGGTGGGAGAAGCCCCCCAGCCGAAGGGGTAAGGGACAAATCACTTTCTTTCCCCTCCCTTTCCTTTTCTTTTCTTTCCTTTTCTTTTCTTTCCTTTTATCTTTTTTTTTCTTCTCTTTCTTTTTCTTTCCCTTCCCTTTCCTTTCCTTATCCTTTTTTTCTTTTTTCTTTTTTTTTCTATCTTTTTATATAAGAGATGTGCATGAGGCGTACGCCTCATGAAAAAAGCACATGAGGTGTACACCTCAGAGGTGTCAATGCCTCTAGCATACGCCTCAGGGCGTTTTGGGAGCACCTCGCCTGGAGGCACACCTCCAAGCGTATGCCTCCCACACCTTTTAAAACACTTCTTCAAAGACTTCCTAAAGGTAGACTTTTCTTATCCATTGCAATCTTCTTTTACCAAAGTAAAAAATTCAAACGCAAATGGGAACCAAGTAATTTTTAGGTTTCTATTGTAAATATAGATGGAAAACAGGAGACATGAAATCAATTCACCCGAGAATAAAACAGGTAGCTTGGTAAATCAACTTGCAAGTCAACATGAATCAATTTCTTTATGGTGTAATGTAAACAGATAAAACGGACTAAATGTGAGAACAAATTATAAAAAATTGGGAAATGGGAGGAGTATATAAATACTCGGTCAAACACGAGAATAGAATACTGGGTGTAGAATAGCAATAGAGAAAACAATAACTTGAGAGAAAGGGAAGCGAGCGAGAGAGAGTGCTGGGTTCAGGGTTAGTAAACATGATACTATTCAAGTAGAATTTGCATTTATCAGTTTCAATCAAAACTTATAGAAGTACAAGAAAAACCTATGAGTTCAGCATATTTCCAGAGAATAAAACTTGATCCCATGCATTGTAATTTATCAAAACTAGATCATTATCTTGTATTTCAAGAGAATAATTCAATTTTGTACATCAAGTAACCGGATATAAAAATAAGTTTCAACTAGCCGGTTCTGAAGTACAATTATATTTGGGCTCACATGACAAGCTCTAAGTTCAAGTACTTTAATATTATAAATTTGTTACTCATACAAGTGTTAATAATAAAACTATATTCTTGTTTATGTTTTGGGATATTTCCACTTATATAGTCCTCCAATGTCTTATATGAATATGAATTCCAGATCATTTTAAAGGCAAACACCAAATTAGACCGGAGGAGTGGGACCATGCCATAAAACCTAAACCTAGACATACCAACCTGACTTCTCCTGTGCAACATTTAAATTACTTCACTATTGAACTCATTCACTTGTCAAAGTTGAACTCAAGATCTTCATTGTAGTAAAAAAAAAACATTTTTGAAATGACAATCATCAAAGTGCAAAGGCATTTGTTATCATTTCTTTTCTTTATCCAGCACAAACAACAGGAACACAAGCATCTTAATGAACAAATGCATTGCAAAGCTAATACTTAAAAGTATAACTTTTAATGTCAAAAGTGATGGTTCTAGGCTTAGATTTTCTATTAATTTTAAATGTGCAATATAAATGACAAAAATAAATATGAGAGTACAAGTTTTAATGTTTCTCATAAAAGCAACAAAAATGAATGCAAACCTCTTTAAAAATATTTCTGACATATCATATGAAGTACCTGAAGTACTTACCAACTATCAATGGCTTGTTGAACTAATTCAAGGTTTCCAGACTGGCTACAGACTCTGGCTCTACCGTATTCTTCCTCAATTTTGAATACATCTGGGGCTACATTGGCACAATTTTTACAGCCTAAAAATACAGATCACAGAATAACTACAATGTCAATACTGAGGGCCCTTTATATGCCATGCATAATGGTTTCTTCACAATATGCATTTATCACTTACTTCGTCCCCATCTCTGCATCATACAAATGTATGGCAATAAAATGGGGAAACAAAGAATGAAAATTTTCGGAAATATGGTAAAGTAGAAAGATGAGAAAAAACTGTTCTTCTTATTAATTCAGATGACCAGAAAATAACTAAATGGAAAAATCCCCATACCTATGCAACTAAACTCATCGACAAATGCATGATCCTTTGGGCTTGAATCATCCACAAAAGGGTTAATTGCCATCAATGCATACCCATGAATTTCATCATAAACCATACGCTGCACAGGGTCACTGAGTACCTGCACTGCGATGATCCTCATTAACCCAAAGAAAAGGAAGAACCTCAGACAACTAGATTTTAGATTATCCCAGTTGCATTTTTGGAACCCACCGCATAAACTTCATTGATGAAAATGCAGAAATTTGTGGTCTCTGGATCATTGCCACTCAAGTCTGGATGGCAGGCTTTCATGCAGTCATAGTAAGCTTTCTTAATCTGCTCTGGCGTTGCATCAGGCAACTGGCAACATTGTCCAACAAATGATGATAAGCTTATAAAAAGATAAAATGGTTGCTCAACAATAAACAGAGAATAGAAAAGTTTGAAACGCCACAAAATAATTTTGTGAAGACAGTTATTGCAATGAATAGACCACCTGCACACAGTTGTTAACTCAGAATGTCCAAATGCTAAGTGAGAGAACTCAGTATATACATCATATACCATAATGAAATGCTAATTTACACTCCCTTATCAAGGGTACTCTTGTAAAAATTACCATTATAATCTCAATGAAATAGTTGTATGGTGAGGGAGTTGATAGGCTCAATTAACCCTTCTAAACTCTCAGTTCTCTCTTCTCTTCTTCCTCTGTTTTTCTTTTTTTCTATGGTTCTTCTAATAATTTAGTTTCCTACAATTACAATCACTTGGCATCAAAGAAGAGAGTCAAGATCTTGAGGACTGCTTGTGAGTTTTCCAAGCACCAAGGCCATAAGGCTGTCACCACCAGCTATGCAGTTCTCATTTCAACTGACCAAATCAATTTAAGTTGGTTGGTTTTAAATTTTTTACGATTTCTTGTGAATTTTCCACAAATTTTTTACTGGTTTTTGAAGGCTTTGAGATTCAAGTAAGGATGAGAGAGAGAGAGAGAATATGAACCATTATTCTCATTTTTTCCATCAGATAATGCCATGTTTATATTTGTGGATGCCCATCCCCAATGATTCCAAAGCCACTTCACCTAATGTGTCCATCATGGAGGTCATGGGGATAATCTTACTGTGAAAATTACAACAGTAAAATTGGATAACACAAACTAATTTGGATTGTTCCAACCTGTCAGGAAGTAGAAGCAAGGCATGTGATAGAAGACCAAGGCTCTAAACTCCAAGGTCCTCGGTATGAGAAATAGGAGCATAAAAACTTCACGATCATGTCATGGTTCTATCTTCAGTGTTTTCTTTCTTATCTTAAATAGTTCTAGTTCATCTGTGTACTTTTCCTGAACTTAGATTTAGGATCTTTTTTCATCATTACTCTACTTCATTTTATTTTTCACTTTTTTGCATATTTCTTTTTGGGCAAGTGGTTCTTAATCTCTCCAATGTAGACAACATCAGTTTAACCTGTTCTATGGCCTGCAAAACAATATCATCTGTTAAAATGCCATATCAGCTAGCACTTCACATCATTATAAGAATGTATAAGGTGGTCTGTACTTTGATGGATCCTCATGTTAGGACAGTATAGCGTATGTCTTTCTGCTCATTGATTGAAGTTCATCGTAACTGAATCAGTTATATTCACCACAGACTCAGAAACACGGCCCACAGTAGGTCATTGTCCTAATTTTGCTCATAAGTTAGTTAGAAGAGATAAAAAGGAATACCTATGTTATCCTTCCGTTCTTTTTTCCCAAAGAGACTCCTTACGAGTTGAAACAGACTATTACAATTTTCACCTTGGTGAGAAATAAACTAGGTTCCATTGCTACATCAAATACAGACATGCTCAAAACATAATTGGAAAAACCATTCACCCCACTCTACAAGAATCATATAAAACCGAAACTTAGAAGTGTAACCATTTGGGATCGACTGCTACCTAAGATTGATCAATTCTTTATCTACATATGGCCTATATAACACTACAATGTTATCAGCACCAGACGACCTTTTGCAGTGAACAGATCGAGCAATTACAACAATAGGATCAAGCAAGGTTCAAAACTGGTTCAGGGGAGCCGGTCTAGGACCCCTTCATACCGGTTCTCCCCTGAACCGGTCAGACCACTGATACACCCACTGTAGGGGCATATCGGAAGGGTCCCAAAACGATACGCGATACTTTGAACCTTGGGATTAGAACTTTGAAAAAGCTCTGAGTTTACTGAAACTTTGGAGAAGCTCCGAGGCACGTCTCAAGAAAAAATAGGTGCTGGTTCAGAGAAAATACTTTGAATTGTGCCTCTTAGATCACAGCCGCCCTCGCGCCACGCGAGTGCGCACAAACTGCACCTCATTGCGCCACACACACATGCACGCGCATTGTTTGGTATCTAATCCCTCAGCTCCTATTATAATTTTTCAACGTGGCACAAGTTAAAAACAAGAGAAAAGAATTTCTCGTATAATTGACCAATCAAGCCCATTGTATTTAGTCGAGATTAAAATCCAACATCAATTCCAATGATTAAGGTCAGAAACGTAAACAGAGAATAGCTAACGGAAATAGAACAGTTACCAATCCCAACACAGTGTAGTAATCATCGGCGAATTCCTCCTGTAAAGTGAAGTCGCTGTTGATGGTAGCCTTGATCTTGCAGCATCGTCGCCGGCCACCAACGCTCATCCATGGGCTGTTGTTCCTCGCTAACGCGCGCCACCGGCTTCTAGAACAAGAGAACTGTGATGGGTTCTGGAATGCGAGAGCGTCGGTGCAGACGGTAGACAGTAGTTTGGCCATCAATCCCAGAACCCTGAAAACTGAAAGAGCTTCCGCTTGCTGACTCGCAGTGTTCGTTTCTTTGTAAACCAGGAAATAGGAATACTAGCGGGAGAGAAGCTGGAAATAAAGATATTTATTTTTAAAATAAAATTACGAAAATATTGAGGACGAGAAAATTCGCCACTTAGACGAGCGAAATTCTTTCAGTGCTGACATGGCACTCTCTACACCATTTATTTTCCTTACTTAAGTTTTACTAGTTTGACAATGCACGAGACTTCCTGCCCAGTGCCCACTAGCCGACACGTGTTAGTGCTTGCTTTGGCTCATTTCCCACTTGCCTAACCTAACCACTGACAGGGATGTCAACGGGTCGTGTTCTATTCAACCCGAAACCGACCCGGAGTATCATCGAGCCGACTAACTGATGTGGAGATATTGAACCCGGCCATATAGTAGACCTGCACCCAACCAACCAAGCATTCATATAATAAATTAACAATACAATACATGTATTCCAAATTTCCAAATAATGCAAACGTCAATTGATCCGATTTAGCACGCCCATCTAAACTCGAGTCCGATTCGAAACCCGAACGAGGTTCAATTAACCCGACCCGTTCACATCCCTATGGCCCATCATCTCTGTTGGGGGTTAGTGAAAACGTACAGAAGATGGGAGTTAAAAGTGATGCTGAAGGCTGAAGGCTGAAGCCTGAAGCCTGAAGTCTGAAGAGGAGTTTATTTGACTGACTGAAACGAGGACTATCAATTTCAATGGACTTTAGCTCTCGTGGCGTGCAAGGCTCTCTGGAGAGAGACGGATTAGGATAGATTCTGGCTTCCTATAACGTGCACGTCATTGGTTAAAGTCATAATTGTGGGCCACATATGCAACCCAGCAAATCAAGGCACTGTTTTGGAAGCTAGCGTTCAGCCGTTCACCGCGAATTAAGGGAAAACGACAAACCACAGATGAGATGTCAATGTATAGGGTTTGGTTCGGGATAGGATGGAGTGGAACTCTGTCCCAAACCGATTATTATTCGGTTCTATATAATAAACTCAGAAGCAAATCAACTGTTAAGCAGGATAAATGGGTCTGATCCGATTTATATTTGACATAATGATATCTACAATTACTTATGATAATATAATGGAAATTTTCAGATTTCTCCACCTCACAAATTTTTTATTTAATTTATATGATTGGAAACTCACAAGTGGAGAATTTGACGTGATAAAGGGGTTACTGCATTATAGATCAATACATAGGGATTAGGAAAATACAATCAAAAAATAAATAAAATTTTGTGACATGGTATTTAATTTTTTTTTGTTATATAACCTTAAATAAAAATGGCATTTAGTCAATTATTTATATGTTGATAAAACAAGTTATTTTAACCAAAATTATCTTGTACACTGTCTTTGAAATTTATACTTTTAGACTAAATATAACCAAAAATTACACAAAAACGGGAGTCCTCATTATTAATTATATAATCAATTCTAAACAGTAAGAACCAATTCTAATCCAAATATCAATTAAGACACAAACCATATTTGTTCGTTCAATTTTATTCTATCGAATAGACCTGAGTCATTGACAAGTCTAACAAGTCTAGAATAAAATTATTCACCATTGCTCTGTTGGTTTTGAATTAGATTCAATTCGATCCAAACCTTATTAAATTAGATTTGTACCGTTTATTATAATTAAGATAAATTATAAGGACCCCTTATATTATGGGGTCTGTGACAAAAACCCCCTATATTTTATTTTGCAACAAAAACCCCCTTATACTATGACCGTGAGGCAAAGATCCCTTTTCGTTATCCTTCCGTCCAAAACGTCTGTTGCCATATTTTTTTAATCCCCATACTACCCTTGCGATGGCAGATTTCTCATGGTTTTGAGTCAAGCAAAACAAAACTTGTTTGTGCTTTGAATGCACCTCAGCCTTTATGATCGAACCGTCTCCAAGCTTGAACCCAGGAGTAACTGGAAATCCCAAAATCAGAATAAATTAGTTAAAATGAGCTAACCAGAAAATTGTTATCAACAAAATGAAAGAAAAAGGACAAAAAAGTAGAGAATAGTACATACCTGAAATATTTGATCCTTGTTTGTCTAATTTCTTATTATCCAAATGGGGCATTTTGTCAGCATCACAAATCGAATAATTTTGCAACTCCGACTTCGGAATCGGCCAACCTGGTGAAGGCGGCGAGGATGCCTCTTCTGAACTACAATGGTTCCGTTCTTCATCCGTAGTCCCAACAGACGTCAAAATATCATAGCTTGAACTGCAGGAACTGCTATCCTGAGACTCTTCAACGGAATCCGTAAATGGCTCAGTTTCCCGCTGGCCGGAAAACTCGATGACACTCTCCATGTACAGAGGATGAAATTCAGCTCCTCTGATTGCCTGAAAATGGCATGGAGCCGGCTCGAACGCGAAGGCCAGCAAGTGAAGCAACCAAATCGCCTTGGCCATTGCCAAGAACTCTTCGTAAAACTCACTCCTCGGGTGGTTGGCCGTCAAAATCACTCGGCCCTATAGTTTGTGTTTTACTAAAACATTCCCTATAGTTTCCAATCAATTTACTTAATCGACCTTTGATGAAAGTGGAAAATGATAATTTTAACACTAACATCCATTCAAATAAATTTAATCAAAATAAATTAAAAACAAAAATACCATTTTTGCCCCTTATAAAACATGGATAACTATTCTATTCGATCAATTTTGTTTTCTATACAAAAAAGTGTTAGGGGTACTTTTGGAATAAACAACCATGGATTCATACCCTTGAACATTTTCTACTCACTTTAGGGGTATTTTTGGAATAAACAACCATGGGTCCATGCCCTTAAACATTTTCCACTTTGTTTAGGTGATCATATTACTATTTTAATATGGAAAAACAAATAATTCTTAATGAAAGGTCAAATAAGTACATAAGTTGCAAAGTATAAGGGATGTTTTAGTAAAATACAAACTATAGGGTAGGTTTAAGTAAATCTTTGAAAGTATAGGGGTGTTCTAGTAAATGGCCATTTTTAAATTCTTCCTCAAATTTTAAGAAAAAATTCATTATTAGCATTTTTTTGGATTTTCGGTAATACCCTGATATCAAATCCACTGAATTAATGCTCAAATCCAATGATAGTGGGTCAAGATACAGTCCTCCTAACCCTAGCTCGTTCGAGTCACAATACAGTCATGTAACTAGAAATTTTCATTGACTCTCAAAGTCCAATAATACCTAGGGGTGAGCAAACGGGTAGGTTCTACCAAAAACTGAATGGAACCGCCCTCGAACCAACATTGAACCGACCCTACCCAATCTGTTATAGGATAGGATTTAGTTTCAAATTATTGGAATTGACCCCCCACCCAGGCTGGTTCCAAGGTCTAGGGGTTTACCCTACCCAAACTGACCTAATGAACCGGCCTTAGTGGAATTGACCTTGGTAGAACCGGCCTTGGAACCAAACTTGCTTTGAAATAAAACCCAAAATACTTTTGAGGATGTGAAGATTTGAACCCAAGCGCTCATGGTTAAAAAGGTCATGGTCTCACTTGACCACTGAGTTACTCAAGTGATTTGATCATTTGTTTTCATTTTAGTACTAGAGAATGACCATGTAGTAAGAACGGGGCTAGTACGTTTTGATAATTTTTATTTTTTTTAAGAAAAAATGTCTAACTTTTTGTTATTATTTCTTTATTTGTATTGTAATATTTAGTTAATTAATTATTGTTGTTATTATTAAGTATTTAATTATTTTATTATCATAATAATTATTATAATTAAAATTTTTACTGTACAAATTTAAAGATCAATCAAAATGGATTGCTTAAATATTAATATTATTTTTAATTAGTAATGGTGATGCTTATTTTCTTATGTTCCTATTAACAATCAACATTTAATTATTGAGTATAGTTATAATAGATTTTCTAATTACACTAAATTTTGGTAATTTACATAAATTTAATGCATAATCAATTTTGAATCGTAGGGCTCTTAATTAAAATTTGTTTGTGACTAAAAGTAACCACTTTTACAATTTTTTAGGAGTTAATGAGTCCACTTCTAGGGAATTTGACTTCCGTTAGGGCAACGCCCAATCGAGCAGCCTTTACAGCCTTGCATTGGGAATATCTCCCTACTCATGTGCTTTATTTTATGGGGGGATATTCCCAATGGAAGGTTGCAAGAAGTTGTTGGGATGGTGTGAGCACGGGGTTGCCCTCAGTAAAGCCAATATCACTTCTGAGATGTTGCTTAATTAAGTTTTAGGATGCCACGTGTTTAATTAAATTTTATGGATAAACATGTGTTAAGATAAATAATAAATGTCTATTGAGAATGTTTAGGAGTGAAACTACCCACATTTTGAATCCTATTTCTTGAATTAATAAGATGACATGTGTTTGAAAGGGGGAGGACTTTAGCCTGACGACTTTCCTTTAGTATATATACTAAGTACGGGGCCACTACTCTGAATTATTTGCATTTTTTAAAATAATTTCTATTAGAAATTTAGATTAGGTTTGTTATTTCATTTTAATATATTTTTATTTGATTTAAGAGATTCACCATATTTTATCTAGAAGAATGGACCCAAACCATTTATTATTTCATTTGAGATTCACAATTATTGAATCATTTTTTTAATTAATCATATTTAATTATTTAACGATTTTTCCTTTTATCAATTTTTTAATTTTTAATCATTTTATTAATTATTCATTTATTTTCTTATTTTCTTATTAGTTAATTTTAATTACTTGATCAATTATTTATTTGAATAAATTAAATTATTCAATATTTCTTATTAATTTAATTCTTAATTTGTAAATTACATAACACTTTATTATTTAACTATCCATTCTATAGTGAATAATCAATTTTACTTGTTTAATCATATTATAGCACTTCTCTAAATTTATAAATTATTTAATAATGCTTTGTTTAAGTAAATGCTTTGAATTATTTAATTATTTTTATTAATAATTGAATACTTTTGTATTTCTCTTATCAATTTGTTTCTTATGTAAATGAATTAATTAATTCAGTTAAGTTAATT